GTACGTTTGGGCATAACATGCCACAGTAGGTGTCAAATGCCTAGCCAATGGCAGACATTCAACAAATACTGGATCTTTCCCTCTTTTCTTTACTTTTTTTTTTTGGAGGGGGTCCTGTTTTTTGAGGGGGGAGTAATTAGGTTTACTTGTTTATATATTTTCATGGAGGCACTGGGGATTGAACCCAGGACCTTGTGCATGCTAAGCACATGCTCTACCACTGAGCTATATGCCACCCTTTCCCTCTTTTATTTTAAAGTCTAACACAACTGAAGCTGGAGAAAGTTAAGCAAGTTGGCAGGGTGGCCAGAACCCAAGTCCATGCCTCCTGCTTCTAGGGCCAGGGCTCTGCCTGCCGCTCCGTGTGCACCATCTCCTCCGGTCCCCACACACCCACACCAGGAAGCAAGCCCTTTGGTGTTAGGAGACCCTCCACCCCAGACTTGCAGCCAGCGAGCCTAGGCTGCTACAATTCACTTATCCAAACACTGCTAGTCCTTTGTGTCCCAAGAGGCAGAGGGCACATGCATTTTACTGAGTGTGCTGATAGTTAAAAAAAATCAAGCCATGTTCAATGACAGATAGGAAGGACACTGCCACAGAAACGTTCCCCTCCTGGTGGCATTCGGGGACGGGAGCTGGCATTTATGAGTTCTCGGTGGGTGCCTGGTGCCTTACAGCCTCCCGTCGCTGAAACCCCACAGGAGCTACAGCTGACCCTTAAATGACAGGGGTCTGAACTGCACAGGTCCACTTATATGTGGGTTTTTTCCCACCACATACATACTGAGGTTGGTTGAATCTGCGGATGTGGAACCTCAGATGGAGGGCCACCTGTGAAGTTATATGTGATTTTCAACTGCTGGGAGGGTCGGCGCCTCTAACCCCTCTGTTGTTCAAGGTCAACTGTAAATTCCTTTTTCCTTCTCTAGCCTGGTGATCAGGACCAACAGACTAACAATAATTTAGTACCTACTACATGCCAGGCACTATACCCATGTTACCTTATTTAGCTCTTACCACCTGGAAGATGACTGTCACGATTCCCATGCAGACTTAAAGACTTAAATTCCACTGAACCAGTGGAGAGGCCCTGCCATGAGGGTGGACCCAGAGGGAGCTGGGGACTCTGTTGACCGTGGACGCTCCTACACGTAGGCAGTTTTTGTGGTCTCCGAGGCCCTCATCTGAGCCCTTCTACCCTGAGACCTGGGTTCTCTGCCAAATGTGCCCTCATTTGGTAAGTGATATTTGGTTCTAAAATATCATTAGCGTGATGGTTAATTTTATGTGTCAACTTGACAGGGCTGAGGGATGCCCAGAGAGCTGGTGAAACATTACTTCTGGGTGCATCTGCGAGGGTGCCTCTGGAAGAGAGTAGCATTCAAATGGGTAGATTTGGGAGAGAAGACTGGCTTTCCATTGTGGACAAGCAGCCTCCAGGCTGCTGAGGGTCCCCATGGAACAAAAAGGTGGAGGAAGGGTGAGCTGGGCTGAGACATCCACCTTCTCCTGCACTCGGATACTGGCACTCCTGCTTCTTGGGTATTCGGACCCAGACCTGGATTTACACTATCAGCCCCCCAATTCTGGGCCTTTGGACTCAGACTGAATTACACCACTGGCTTTCCTGGTTCTGCAACTTGCAGGCAGCAGACTGGGGAATGGCTCAGCTTCCATCACCACATGAGCCAATCTCCACAATAAATATCCTCTTGTACATATTTCCTTATATTCTATCGATTCTGTTGCTCTGGACAACCCTGATTAATACAGTCAATATGGTTAAAAACATGAACATTGCCAGTGCAGTGGAGGCAGGGTAACAGGAAGATAAAGGGGTTCCTATCCAAGCTCTGATGTGTATTTACTGTAGGTCCGTTAATCATCCTCCCTGGGCCTCCTATTTGTCATCTGCAAAATGAGACAACCATTCTCATCTCATGCTGTTGTTAAGAGGATTAAACTAGGTACCTGGAAGATAGTAGGTGCTCAACGAGCAATGGTTTCCTTCCCATATACACTGGCAGTCCAGGTGCTATGGGGCACCCCACAGGTAAATGCTGGAATGGTCAGGAGCTGTCACTGATAGGGGGTGTTTGGACCCCAACAAACAGGAGGCTCTTCCATCTCCTCTACATAAAAACTCTCTGAAGTAAGCCAGAAAGAGAAAGAAAAACACCATATGATATCACTTATATGTGGAATCTAAAAAAAAGACGAACTTACTTACAGTCTGTGAGAAACAGACTCACGGACATAGAAAGCAAACCTATGGTTACCAGGACAGGGGGAAAGGGGGTGCGAAGGGATTAGTTGGGAGTTCGAAATTTGCAGATACTAATTAATATACAAAAAAAATAGATAAACAACAAGTTTCCACTGTATAGCACAGGGAACTATATTCAATGTCGTGTAGTAACTTACGGTGAAGGAGAATATGAAAAACAAATATATGTACGTTCCTGTATGACTGAAGCATTGTGCTGTATGCCAGAAATTGACACAACATTGTAAACTGATTATTATACTTCAATAAAAATATTTTTAAAAATAAAAATTTTCTTGGAAGTTTGCCACTTCAAAAAAACACAAAAAACCTCTCCTATTCACCAGCGTGGATGGCCCGGTGTAACACAAGTGATCATAAATAATACTGGGCCATTAGGAGTATCCCAGTTAAAGAGAAAGAGCCAAAAGTCATTTACTAACATTTATATGGGTGCCACATCTTTTACAGTGCTCTAGATTAAAAATAACTGAAAAGACTATATAAAAACCAGATCATGCAATTAAATATAAAACAATAGTACTCTTTTTAATAAATGGCACTAGAAATATAACCATATGCCAAAATGCAAAATACACACAAAAACCCCGCCTTTTACCATACACAAAATGAACTCAAAGTAGATCGTACACTTAAGCGTGAGCACTAAACTGTCAAAGTCTTGAAAATAAATATAAGAAATTCTTTATGATCTTGGATGGAGCAAATAGGATGCAAAACACTTGAAACACACACACAAAGTGAAAACTGGACTTCTCCAAGTTTAAAACTTTTGCTGTTTAGACTCATAGACATGGAATCCAAACCTGTGGTTACCAAGGGGGCGGGGGGTGGGAAGCGACAGACTGGGAGTTCAAAATATAGAATAGATAAACAAGATAATACTGTATAGCACAGGGAAGTACATATAAGATCTTGTGGTAGCTCACAGCAAAAAAAATTTGACAATGAATATGTTCATGTATAACTGAAACATTGTGCTCTACACTGGAATTTGACACAACATTGTAAAATGACTATAACTCAATAAAAGGTTAAAAAATAATAAATAAATAAAATTTAAAACCCTTTGCTGTTTAAAAATCACTGTTGAAGAAAAAAAATCACTGTTAAAGAAATGAAACAGGTCATCATATTATTATATGGGGATAATAATATTTTCCACTTTATAGTATTGCTGTGAAAATTAAATCTGATTATGCTTTTATTTTACTTTTTTAAACATTTTTTATTGAGTTATAGTCATTTTACAATGCTGTGTCAAATTCCAGTCTAGAGCACAATTTTTCAGTTATATATGAACATACATATATTTATTGCCACATTTTTTTTCACTGTGAGCTACCACAAGATCTTGTATATATGATCATGCTTTTAAAGCATTTAGCACAGTTCCTTCCTCAAATTAACAGCTCAATAATAGAAGTTATTTGTTATTATTTCACTGCATTTAGTAAAACCATTGTCCTTTCTTCTTTCACTGCAGCATGTTTGATTTTCATGTAATCTGAGAACCTGACCAAAATTAAACAGGCAAATGTTATTGGAAAAAAAAAGAAAGAAAACATGAAAAGGTAAGACACAGACTGGAAGAAAGTATCTGAAAAGTACACATCTGACCCTATCATGGCTCAGTAATCAGACAAACAACCCAATAAAAACATGGGCCAAAAATCTGAACAGACACTTCCCCAAGAAGATTATGCAGATGGCAAAGGAGCCCATGAAATGATGCAACACCATTAATCATCAGGGAAACGTAAATTAAAAAGACAATGAGATACCACTTTACACCCACTGGAACACAAAGATTTGTGAGCAAATGTTCATAACAGAAGTATTCATAACAGCCAAAGTGGCAACAGTCCAAATGTCCAGGGATGGTGCAGGGCCAAAACCAGTGACAGCCCGTGAAACGCAGTTCAGCCACAACGCAAGAGGCTTCTCCCACTCACAGCCCACGACTGGACCTCAGAAGCATCTTTCCATGTGGAAAAGTCAGATGCCAGAGGCTCCGGTGCCACCATCTCACTCATGTGAAACTCCAGGGTAAAGGTAGACCAAGAGTGCCAGGGTTTGGGAAGGCGGTCTGCTGGGCAAGGGCAGAGGGGAACTCTGATGGGGACGAGAAAGGTCCTATATGATGACTGTCAAAGACAGTTATGCAAGTGTCCGTGATTGTCAAAACTCACGGAACTGTACACTTAAAAGTGGTGAGTTCTATTGTATATCATTTATACCCTAATCAAGCTAATTAAAGGGGAAAATACCATGTTGCAATCTCTAGGGAAAATCTCCAGCTAATGGAGGGGAGGAGGTACCTTGAACAACTTGCCCATGTAGGGACGGGGCTTGGGCTGCCTACGGGCCTGTCAACTGGTCAACCCCCGCCCCACACCCCGCCTGCCCCCACCCCCCAACTCCCCCCACCCCAGGAGGGAGGCTACGCGGAGCCACAGCGCCCAGCGCCGGAGAAGGGGCAAAATGAGAAGAGATGAAATTGTCAGGAATTCTCCCAGCTCTTTGCCTCCAGAAAACAGTGCTTTCTCTAAAAATTAGAAAGGCAGTAGGTGCTTCATTACGCAGACAAAGCGGAGAATGCAGAGGATAGAAAATGGCAGGAAAGCCCCCTCTCCATCGCGGCCCCTCCCTCATCCCACTTCCTGGGTGGGGGTGGGGGGTTCTCTGCGGGCAGGGCCCCGCCCCTCACCAACGTCCTCCTGTTTCCTTTTTTGTCGTTACAGTAGTTCTTTAGAGGAAAAGGACGGACTACAGGCTTGTGTTTGCAGTCCAAGGGTTCAGAGCCCATTAAATAGTCCTTTGCCCTCTTCCTGAAATGTCAGATGTAACGCTGTCCAGGGGCCACGCCTCGAGAGAAGAAGGCCTGCCTGACTACCGCAGTTGTAGAAATCCAGCAACAGGGCTGGGCGCGCGGCTGGTGAGACAAAGAGCCTGAATAAGCAGGCGGGTAAACATCATTATTATTTCTGTGTTTCTGTGTAACTAAGTTAAAGTTCAGTTTAGCGCCGTAAACAGCTTTTTACAGAAAATAACCACATCCATCACAAGCTGACACGTACGCCCACAGTTCGTAGCACACAGACCCGGGTTCGAAATCCTAAAACTGCAGCCACCGATCAGACGTGCCCTTAGGGGGCCTGGCCCGGCCCGGCCGCGACCCCGGGGCTGCGTGGGCACAGCCACCTCGTAGCCGCCGGGCAGGGCCGGGCAAGGCCGCCGGGCCCTGAGGACAGAGCAGGCCCATCTGAACCCTCTAAATGTGCTCTCCCATCCAGCTCCCATCAGAGCCCCGTCCCAGACACAAGAGAAGTCTCCGCCGCTGGACGTGCGGTGGCCCTTCTCACCTGCTAGGTCCAGCCGTCCCGGAGCACAAGGCAACCGAGGTGTGGCCTCCGGCAGCCGAGCGCCTTCCCCAGAGAACCGGGGAACAAGCCCGGGCTGGGGACGGAGGGCGGGAAGACGAGAAGGAGCCTCAGGGTGCTGGCAACGCCAACACGTGCCTCCTTTGGCCTGTTCTGGTTGGGCTGAGTCACCAGGTGGGGCCCCAGCCCTGAAGCGCAGCCTTCCCTTGCTCAGCCCCACCCTCCTGCTCCGTGGGACCCCGGCCTGGCCCTGCCCCGGCGACCCTGGCTGCGCCGCGACCGAGCCGCTCGGCTGGATTCAGCCTCCCCGTTCCTGAAGCCACTGCGGCTGCCTGTGCTGCGCCGGCTCTCGGAGCACACAGAACGGAGCAAAACAGAATCAAGGCTGGCACAAGGTGAATTATGAGAAATCAGTGCCGGACAGTTTACGTCAGGTGGATTTACTCATGCTTCACAATTCAATCATCTATTCAAACATTTATTTGTTTGGACACCTGCTCTGTGCCAGGCTCGAGGGCAGGTAATGAAGATATAAAGATAACAGACTCTGTGATCATCATTCTAAGGGAATTAAGCCAGAAAGAGAAAGAAAAATACCCTATGATATCTCTTATATGTGGAATTACCAAAAAAAACAAAACCAAATAAACTTATTTACAAGACAGAAACAGACTCATAGACAGAGAACAAACTTATGGTTACTGGGGGAAAGGGGGTGGGAAGAGATAAATTGGGAGTTTGGAGTTTGCAGATACTAACCACTATATATAAAATGGATAAACAACAAGCTCCTTCTGTAGAGCACAGGGAACTATATTCAATACCTTGTAGTCACCTATAATGACAAAGAATATGAAAATTAATAATGTATGTATATGGATGACTGCAACATTATGCTGTACACCAGAAATTGAAAAAAAAACCTAAACAAACTAAAAAAGGTAAGAGTCTGTGCTCATGCTCAGGGAGGTCAGCACAGGAGGTGAAGCAGGTAAGAAAGTAGAAGATATAAGGTCACGTGAAGAGAACCAGGAGAACAGAATAAACACACTCGGTGGGACCGCCCAGGCAAGCCCAGGGCAGACGGGAAGGGCCTCCTGGAGGAGGAGGCACAGAAGTCTGCCAGACAGACAGAGGAAGGCAGAGGAGATATTCGGTGTTAAGGATGGACTTGCAAAGGAAAACATGGTGTGAGGCTATGAGCGACTCAGCACAGTTGGAACACGGACTGGGAATGCCTAGACCCTAAAGTCACCAGTTAGGCAGGCAGCAGGCTTCAGAGGGGCGGGCATGCCGTGCTCAGGGCTCAGGCCTTCACCAGCTGGCCACTGCCTTGAAACAGAAAAGTAAACCAACACATCTGTAAATGAGAAAATGCAGCCTGGCAGCAGTGTAGGGCCTGGGTATGGAGAGGATGGGACTGAAGGCAGGGACAGTTGTGCCGGGGCATGGACCCCAGAGGCCGGCCCAGGGGCCACGGAGATCTTCCCGAAGGAGGTGGGTTTTGAGTGGGTGGTGGATGCAGGCAGACCCCACACAGGCCACACATTGGAGAGCGGAGGCCAGAAGTCCAGGGGAGGGGGCTGGTGCACAGATGCGTGTTGCCAGGTAGATGTCTGTGTGTTGCTCGTGCGGGGACGACGCAGAGCTAACCTGGGGTTGGAATGAGATTCATCCTGGCGCAAGTCCTCAGTCTGCCACCAGGGAGCTGTTTGCCACTGGGCAAAGCTGAGAAATACCAAGCTTTGATTTTTTTTCCTGAAAGGAATGGTCTAGAAGAGATCATGGTCTATAATCTTTATTGTATGCTTGGAGAGCAGGCCTGTTAAAGCCTGGAAAAGTGATTTGCTCAAAAGCATGCAGCTAATAATAGAAGGCAAAGCTGGGATGACAAGGCAGCTCTTCATTAATCTGTATACCTCTCCACCCTGTCTCAATGACATTGACCCTTGTGTCACCTACTCCTCCCATACCCGTACGGGACATAGAACAGGGCAGTGTCCAGTGCATTCTTCTGGGCGACTGTGCTGGCTTTCCTGTCCAAGTGCACTGGGGACACTCACCACGTCATCCATACTGCCCTTCTCTCAGAAATGCTTTCCCAGATGAAGAAGATGTGGGGACACACACACACAATGGAATACTACTCAGCCATAAAAAGAATGAAATAACGCCATTTGCAGCAACATGGATGGACTTAGAAATCTACATACTAAGTGAAGTTAAGTCCAGATGAGAAAGACAAATAGCGTATGATAGCACTTATATGTGAAATCTAAAATATGATTCAAATGAACTTATTTACAAAATAGAACAAGACTCACATAGAAAACAAACTTATGGTTACCAAAGGGGAAAGGGGGTGGGAAGGGATAAACTGGGAGTTTGGGATTAGGAGATACACACTACTACATATAAAATAGATGAACAACAAGGTCCTACTGTACAGCACAGGGAACAATATTCAATACCTTGTAATAGCCTGTAATGGAAAAGAACCTGAAAAAGAATATACATATGTATAACTAAATCACTTTGCTGTACACCTGAAACTAGCACAAGACTGCAAATCAATTATAAAAGAAATGCTTTCCTGGTAACGGGGTTGGCCAGGCCTCCCCTGTGAGCCGTTATCCCATCCCAGTTCTTAGGCCCTCCAATCCCCCAGCTTGGCCCCGGGTTGCCACTTCAGCATTTGTGCATGAAACCCACCAGCACGCCAACATCAGGAAGCAGGTGGTACAAGAGGACCATCTCTCTCAGTGGGAAGAAGCACTGAGGCTGATTTGGCCACCTTTCCTTCTTTGTCTGCCAAATTAGCTTTTCACCCCAAATGAAGAACATTTCTCCTCCCAAATGAAGAACCCTCCTCCCCCCAAGCCCTAATACTTCCCAGGGCTTACTGACTTCCTAGATTCAGAAGACCCATCCCACTCGCACAGAGTAGGGAAGAAACCAGGAATATTCACTCACTAAGGTGAGGTGATTGACAGCAGGTACCTTCAAAGAAAGGACTTGAATAGAAATGGGTAAAAGCTTGTGAAGGAGGCACAACCAGGAGGATTTATGGGCCTTCTTCAATGGTGCTATAATTTTGGCAACACACACCAGGAGAAGTCAAGTCAAAAAGAAGACAGGATTTGTCCATCTTAATCACATCTGTGTGCCCAGCACTTAGAACTCTGTCTTACACACAGAAGGAGTTCAATACATATTTGAAAGAATGAATGAGTGGACAAATGGCAAGATACAAGGTGTCTCACTTATATATGTTACACCAACTGCCATTTAAACTAAGGTTTTGTATCTCACTCTATAGGAAATAAAAAGGAGGGCAATGAAATCAGATCTGTTAAGGGCTTACTTACTACTGGTCACCGCATTAGGTGCTTTTGGGAAGGTAGACTCACAGCAGCCTCTGGGGAAGGCTAAGATGGTCAGACACACAGGTGGTCAGTGGGGTCAAGCTGCCCTGGCTCTGCCCCCGTGCTGTACGCTTCCTATTGAGCCTCAAGGAGTGGCTCGAGCCAAGAGTGAGTGCCCTGAAAAAATAGTATTCCAAGTAAGTTTGTCACATTGACAAATTAATCATCTTTATGTATCTAGATAGGAAGTTGGCCAACTGCAGTCCATGAGCCAAATCCAGCCTGCCACCTGTTTCTGTAAATAAAGTCTTATTAGAACACAGCCTTGGCTACTAACTTATGGACTGTTATGGACTAAATTGTGTCTCCCTGCCCAATTCATACCTGGAATCCCTAACCCTCATGTGACTATATTTGGAGATAGGGCCTTTAAGGTGATAATTCAGGTTGAAAGAGGCCATAAGGGGGAGTCTGTCTGGTAGGACAGATGTCCTTATCAGTAGAGGAAGAGACAGCAGAAATCTCTCCCTCTCCACACACACACACAAAGGAGAGGACATGTGAGGGCACAGCAAGAAGGTGGCCATCTGAAAGCTAGGAGGACAGTTCTCACCAGGAGACAATCTTGGTGGCTCCCTACTCTTGGACTTCTAGTTTCCAGAACTATAAGAAAACAAACTTTTGTTGTTTAAGCCACCCAGCCTGTGGCATTTTGTTGCCATGGCGTCCCTAGCCAGCTAATGCAGGCTACAATGGTGAAGCTGAGTCGGTGTGAAACAGAACATATGGTAGCCAAGTCTAAGACACTTACTATTTGGCCTTTCATAGACAAAGTTTGCCAACCCCTGATCTAGATGCCCATAGCCAGATATTGATAAAACTCAACAGGCAAGTACCACTCAAATGAGTTTGTTTCCATTGTATTTCTATTTTAGTTACTTATTAATTCATTCCTACAAGTATATTTTCATCCCAGCTATGTAGCCAGAACACTGAACCATGCAAACACCAAATATTTCCTGAGTCTTGTCCTAAGCCCTGTAGTCACAAGGATGTTATTAGACACAGTCCCTGCCCACAGTGAGTCATGGACACATGAGTCTTAGCTCTATAAAACCTTATTCCATACTCAGTGGCCCTGCCTCTTTTTCATATGTTGAGGGAAACTCTGTTAGGCAGAGGCAATCCCTCTATAGATCCTCAGCAAGGATCAAACCCAAAGCTTCTCTCTGAGCAGTTTCCCTGAGCTTCAGCTTCTAGCTGAAGGTAGATGGCAGAAAAGGAACTAACAGACTTTGAGACAAGCATCTCAGTGTTCTTATCTCTGTGACAGACATAATGATATCTCACAGGACGGTCCTAAAGACTAAAGGAGAAAACAAATGCAAAGTGCCAGAAACTAAAACAAGAGCATTTACTATGTATAAAGAAACAAAAAGGCAAGCTTGAGTAAACACAGGGAACAGGAAACTAGAAATTAACCTCTAGAAGTTAAAGCTTTCCAATCAAAAACTGAGCAGATGCCTTTAACAGCAAATTAGATACAGCTAAAAAGAAAATTAGTGAATCAGAGGATCTGTCAAAAGAAATTTTGAAAATACATATATATAGAGAGAAAATGATGGAAATTGTGAAAAAGATGTTAAGACACATGAGGGATAATTTGAGAAGGTGTGACATAAATTTAAGCTGGAGTTTCAAAAGGAAAGGGAAAAAAGATGGCAAAAATAGAATATTTGAAAATTTAATGGCTGAGAATTTTGTAGAACTGATAAAGACACCCATCCATGCATTTAAGAAGTCTAACAAATCCCAAGTTCGACAGATAAAAAGAGACATCTACCCCTGGATAAATCAGAGTGAAATTGAAAAACTCCAAATAAGGGGATTGGAGATATCTTAAAAGCAGCCAGAGGGGGAAAACGACTAGCTGCAAAGAGTTACACTGATAGAGCATCAACAGAAGCCAGAATACAATATGCTGAATGAAAATAGCTTCCAACCCAGAATGACATGTTTCCAATGAAAAGACCTTTAAATAATAAGCACAATTTAAGGAAATTAAAGTCTGAGAAAATTCACCCCTAGTAGAGTCTCATTAAGGAAAATCTAAAGGATGAATTTCCGACAGGAGAGTAATTCTAGATAGAAAGAGTGAAGAGCAAAGAAAGTAGTAAATAAGCGGGTACATAAAAATGCACACAGACTATATAGAGTAACAATAATAGCATCTAGTAGCATGT